GTTTCCACGAAACGTGAAAGTATACGTAGAGATTATAAGATATTTAGTACATTTTTAGAAAAAGAAAAAAAATTACATTACACTGCAACAGTAGTTTCTTGTAACAGTGTATGTGCGTAAAAATTTTCTACGATAAGCATTCAAATACTTTCGTGAGCCACTCATTGTCATTCATAGTTCGTACATTTAGCTTTACTTTCTATCAATTTGTTCTGAGATCATCCAAATTCGTTCGATCATCAGTATTCTGCATAATTCGCTGAATTTTCAAACGCAATAGTAACGAAGTGAAAACTAAATTGTTGAGAAACATTCATTGATAGAAAAATGGGAGGATTACTAAAAAGAAAAAAAAAAAAAAAGATATTGAAAACCAACGAAAAGGATTGAGTCGAGGTAGGGAAAAAAAGTGAGAAAAATACTCGTTGGCCATCGAAACCGGGTTGAGAATGGCGACAGATTAGCGAATGGCATGACTGGATTTGGTGATTTCTCGCAGAGGGGTGTACCCGGTGGTTGTTGCCGTCCGGGACGACTGATGGACGTCGAGGGAGATCCTCTAGGAGTAACAGGACCTCTTCTGCCACGGGATAACCAGGAATATAAATCGCCCAGCGAGGACAGCGGTCTCGGGGCCGACATGCCCAGGACCAGGTCGGGCAGATTCCAATAAGCCGAGAATCTTTCGACATGATATCCTTGAATCTTTCTTGATTTTCGTGAAGATTCCCCTGCTCTAGATCGAACTGTCTCTTATCTTTTTCTCTCTCAGTTTCTCCTATTTCACGCGGGAAACTCGACGGAAAAGAATTTCTACGAATTTTCGAATTTAAGTCATTGAAGAATTATCTTCTTCCAACAATAAACGAGACTAAACGAGAAGAAAAAAAAAACGGAAAAATTGTGCTGTAAAGGTAAATTGGGCAAAGTCTATGAAAAATTCAAGTTGACTGTATAAATTTGTCGTCCAGAGTAAACGGCAGATTTGCAGTTGCAGTTGTAGTAACTGAGTTACATCGAGTAGCTCGTTGAGAACCACAATTGTAGAGTCGAGTCGTTTCGTTGCGTGCATCTTGCGAATTGATTTCTCGAACGTGGGATTGTAGCCTGTGCAATAATTCAGAACAATTCTTCAATTTACTCATGTGAATTAAACTTTCGTTGAGTCTTAAATTAAGAATGCGTTGACCTTTGGCAAAAGAAATTAGATTGCTTTGGAATTTCTCTTCAATTCCGCTGCGAATTTAGCGAGCAACCTAATGAAACCATTTAAAATGCTCATGGACATATTCTCTTCTCATATCACGAATTACTTTAAACTATTAAGGACCAACTATTAATGCAAATTTTATTCACAATTATTTTCAATCAATTTATTAATTATATACAGGTAATATAATGTTACATTATTAATATTAAATAATCCATTATATCTTCCATTTAGATTCTATAATTTCGAAGAATTTTAAATTGAATATAATTATTATATATTATATTATTATCATAATATAATATTATAATAAATTATCGCTTGGTCCTTGAATGAGTTAACTTAATTTACACGCTACAATTTCGTCAATTTAATCGAAGAATTTCATGACACAAAACTTTAAACACTCTCATTTACACAAAACCATCTTTCATCCCGTCTAACAAAACTCATCGCTTCCTCTTCTTCTTCTTTTACAAATCGCAGCCTTAATCTCTAACGAAATATTCCAACTTAATTTCGAGTTCAACTTCCACTCAGGAAGAGGAACCACTGATCGATAATTGATCGTATCGCGGTCTGAAATACAACTTCTGAACAAAAGAGAAAATAAGACAGAAGATGGGAGAAAGGAACGGAAAACAAAAATATAGGCGAAAGAGGGTACGATTCCACAGTAAACAGGGATAGCTGTAATGGCGTTTCTATGTCGGATATACGAGGTACATCGATATTTCATTTCCTACCAGACTCGATCTGGCTTTACTGTCTATCCCGCATTCAGCCACCCCCTTCGGCGCCACCTGACTAGTAGCAAGTATGTACACGGATAAGCAGACACCAGAATCGAAGAAGGGAGAGGTAAATAGCGACCAATACAGTGGTGTGCAAAAGTTTGCAGCCAGATGTTCTAAAAACGATATCTGAAAGTATTTTTAGTAAGAGAGGAAGATAGAGTTACTACTACGCGAGCTAGAAGAATATTTTAGTCATACTAACAAGAAAAAGATATATCAAGCTGTAATCGGACAAATTTTGTTGCGAATAATTTTTAAATGACCTGCATTTGAAAAAAAGTCTATTTAACTTGATAGTTAATAGCGACACGATTAGTAGTAAAACGATAATTTCAATTTTTATTAAATTCTTTACTAAATTTACTAAATCAATATGTCAGTATTTTTAATAGGAATTTATCGAATTTCACATTTATGTTAAAATATAATTAGTAGAATTCAATAAATATTTAGTAAATTTCTACTCAAAATAATAATAATAATAAAATCAGTTGAATTTATTAAATCGTACCTAAAATTAAAAGGGTTCAGTAAATTTTACTGAATTTCTATTAAACATAGTAGCACTAAAAATTTCACGCGCGTGAAAGTAAAGCGTAGAATCTGTTAGAACGTTTAATTGGAAAATAAGGGTAGGTGCAAATAATTTTTATACTCACTGTACGTGTGTGTCGTCCTTGTATCCTCGCGTGGGCGAGGATTGAATGTAGACGTATATAGGGTGTATCGGTGGTCAGCTCTGTGAATCGTTCGATTAATTCGCCGGGGCCCTCGACAAAATTTTTATGTACGGTCAAAGGAGCACGTCATAAGTGGAGATCGATGGAACGGGATGTTGCTTCTTCTAAAATAAGAGGCTAGTTCTTTTTTACAGGCCTTGGTTTGACTTTGATGAAAATATTCGCGGACGTAGTGGATTGACTTTTTTTTTTAGGTCGATTAATATTTTAATAAATGATTTAGAATTGTT